AATGAATGGAGCAAAAGATTCTTGTCTGACACAACAAAGATGGCTAAAAATCAATGGTTTTGACAAGTTCCTGGACGTTTGTGATTAGGACCTGTTGAAACTCTTTTGAATAAAAATGACAGTTTAACCACCAACCGCTCTTTCGTCGTTAATAAAGTGTCGTTTCATTCATTGTTGATCTGACCGATGGTCAAACTTCTGGCCTTCGCACACCGAATGTGATTGATTAGAGATGACGTATGCCTCTAGTTTGTACCATGGATATGCAGTATAGGAATAATTATCGCCAATATGTGTTTACCGTGCCTGTAACATCACTGATAACCCTTCTGATCATAGCGGCAAAATAAAAGCCGGCATTAAGGCCAGTATTAGACCGGAAGTACATCAGCTGGCCATTGGCTTAAGTAAGTGTTCGTTCCCAATGTCTTATCATAACTTGTTCACGCTTTGCTCCTATTAGGGCCATGTCCACATTTACGAGCAGGATTTGCCGGACATCAGGATTTGCCGGACATTATGGACAATCAAAATCGATAATGACCATTGGAAACCGCTAGGAATCGTCTACAGTGTTAGTCAATACCTTCTTGTAAGGTATCTCTGATAGGGTTAAAGGTCCTTCTACAGAGTGCGTTCGTTTCATTCATTTCGTTTTTGTAAAACTTATTGTTGAATTACAAAGAATAGAACTAAAGTGTTTTTTTTTTTATAATAGTGGAAAATTGGATATTTCATGTTTACATTATTATCACTGCCTTTGTTTGATCAGATTTAAACATTTAGAGATGTTTTAACAGAAATTCGAGACAAGATATCTCAGCCAATTCACTGGGTTGCAAAATACCATCACACTACTGCTACCACACATCCATCAGCTATTTATCCTTCAAAACAAACGTGACGTGTCAAATACAAATGCTTTGACGTTGTTTTGCCATTGTAGACTACAATTTCCAAAAGTGAAGTTTACAGATATACCAGTATAACTACATGCATACATTTTTTGTGAATACATCATTTGGATTTTTTTTCTGTTTTGATGTTGATCAAACAGAGTCCCACTTAGGATGTCCTTATCAGAGAACTATAAGTACATGTCGTGTCATTTTAGGAAAAAAGTAAAGGTCACGTGACAACAATGACATCAGATCCGGTTTGCCGTAAGGTCTGCATTGTTGGACGACTTATGAACCTCGTTGAGCTTGTAGTCACCGGTTGAACCCCGACGCCGAAGGGTAACATGTTAAGAGTTGTTTTCTAAACAACGTCTTGAACTGTTATTCACTTCGGACAAGGTCTTGTGAAATTATTACTTGTCCGACAGTGATATTTGAAATACAGATATATTACAAAGTATGACTTTAATCTGCGGAAACACTGGCATGGAAATTGCTTCATTTCCTTTTGGATAGATGTGCATTATTTTAACATTTATTGTCGTATGCAACACATTTCCGCTCAAACATATCTCTTACATGCATACATCATTCTCGCTGTGTGATTTCTGTCATACATATGTACTAAAATTTACACAAACTGTTTTACCAGAAACAAGGTTGTTGCTTTCTGATATTACTTTTTCTGTCAAGTGACAAACTTCAAGTTCCGTCAAATTAATACGTCATCAGTTGCCCATTCTTACTCTAACAGTATGGCAGAAACACCTGCACATTTTCCTATTCAAAAACATTTCTGTGTATTAGTTTTTGTATTCCAATAAATAAATGGGGGCCGCGGTAGCCAAGTGGTTGAGGCGTCTGACATTCTGCTACCACTAGCCCTAGGCCTCCGCCACTGGGTCGCGAGTTGGAGGCATACGTGGAGCAGTCGCCAGGTATTGGCCGTAGATCGGTGGTTTTTCTCCGGTAACTCCGGCTTTCCTCCACCACCAAAACCTGGCACGTCTTTAAATGACCAAAGTTGTTAATAGGACATAAAAAACAAACAAGCAAAAACAGGTATTTCCAACTTAAACATTTAAGCCTCTAGGATTGCCAATGAACTTATCAATCAAGACACACATGTCCGGTGGTGCTCTAAATCGAGGTTTTCTTGTGTTTACTTCCAATAGCGTAAGGAGATTCTGGGAAATATACGAAACTTAATCTTGTTCAAGCCTAAATCGAAATATTACAACATGTTCGTTAGTCCTTGCTCTCACTTTAGAGCTAAACACTCGGACAACTGAGAAGGGAAGCATGGGTTTGACTTAACGTAAATATAGAATCGTTTAATTCGTCTGATCTTGTACAGCAGTTAGGTACCACTGAAAATGGTATATCGGACATTCGATGACGAAGCGTTAGAATCTTCTTCGAAATCAAACCTATTTGTTTATTAAAAGGGCAGACGTTCTAGACAGGATTGCTTGACGTAGTGTTGTATAAGCTTTGTAAAGATCCCCTCCTAAATCTAACAAATATTATCAAAAAAAGGGAAGCCTAGAATGCTAAAATGCTATTAAGGCAGGTACATGTAAGTTAGTATAGTGTTATTCGCGTTCAGACTATATTTGGATGTCAACCAGACTATGATGATATTACATTTGACAGACGGTCCTTTTGTCCATGAAAGTCAAGTCAGTTGTTTATGGAACCGCTCGCATGCTGAAAGTTAATTGCAATTTATGTGGTCAAACCATTTTTCTTAATTTCTTATTTCTGTCATAGTTAAGCTACAGTTAATGTATGCTATATCATCTATACACAAGGACAAAATCCAAAATCGAGGTCTATGCAAAAGACTATGACGGCACTAGGACACGAAAATAAAAATAAATAAAAAGATTTATGTAATCCCTCACCAAATACCCGAGAAAAAACACATGGCGACAAGATATTGATCGTTCGTTCCATTTTTAATTTGAGTAATATCATTAACAAACAAACAAGCACATCATCTTTTTGCTATAAAAATGTGATAGCAAATAAATCATATCTAATTTTTGCTCGGTATTATGTCATGTATCCTTGAAACCGCGATCATTGGTAAATTTATATTAAAACAGAGACAGCGCCCAGCGCCGCTTCCGATTCGTCCTAATTTCGCCCTGGCAGTGCAGCACGTCGGTTTGGATGTACAGCATCACGTTTGCCTAGCGGTACAGCATTAGAGTCATGTCTATAGTCTTGCCTATTTCGGCTGACAGCCCGGCGGCACAATGCCGGTGGTTGTTCATCATCACATCACGCTTTAAGTCTAGCATAAATAACACCTTATGGTGGTCCAACATTATATAGGCTTCTAATTAGCCTAACGTCGTCTGTTGATCCAATACTACAGGTACGTCAAATGACAGTCCAGCATAATGTCGGCTTGTGATCGGTATTACGTGAGGCCAAGATGACCGAGTGGTTAAGGCGTCTGACATTCTGCTACCACTAGCCCAACACCACTAGATCGCGATGTCGAGGCCTACTTGGCGACGTTGGGCATAACGTAGGCTGGCGGTCAAGTGGCATTATTGAATCGGCTGATGGTCCAGTGGAAGTACCTCGGCTGGCGATCCAGTGGCATTACGAAGGCTAGTGGTCCAGTGGCATTATGTCGGCTGGCGGTCAAGTGGCATGTCATCGGCCGTTGGTCCAGTGCTATTACGTCGGTTGTTGGTCCAGTGGTATTACATCGGCTGTTGGTCCAGTGGCATTACGTCGGCTGGCTATCCACTGGCATTACTTCAGCTGGTGGTACTAGTTTATGTTGGCTGGTGGTCAAGTGGCATTTCGTTGACTGATGGTCAAGTGGCATTGCATCGAATAATGGTCCATTATTTCGTCATTAAATCTTAAGGAAAATTATCAATTATTTTTTACAAAGAGGAAATACTTTGAATATATAGATACAAATAGGTTAACGTGTTAGATACTCCCATGTACATATCTGTAAGTTTCTGTCGGAGGAAAGGATAACACTATACGTCATCAGAACGGTTTGCCTTTATTGACAATTGGTTAGGCTTGAGCATTGTTAGGGATCGTTTGGCGCACCCAATAGCGCTCGCGGGAGCGCATCCACCTTAGCCATGACGGACAGGTTTCGGTACCTTGATCGGACATGGAAAGGGGTCACATGCCCGGCAACGTTGGTTATCTTTGGGTATCCTTGTTTCACATTTTATAAGTGTGCCAAAATAATCAACGTCTGCAAAAATAAATTGAGGGGCAATTTGCACATGTCGAATATAACAGGCTGTCGTAAACATCAGGTGTTAGTAAAGACAGGTTTCTCTGTATAAGCGTCATTAACGGCAGATCAAGTTCAAGTGTACCCTGCTGACATAACGAAATAATCAACGAAACAGTAAGGTCTCTACACAAAACTACAAACTGATCATCGCAATTGAATCTACGTAGATAGAAAATGGATAGCCATGTTAAACCCTAGGGGACAGCTCATTTGTCTGTGACTGGCTGATGTCGTCATTGTACCATTCCACTATATTAACAACCAGACAGACACATGTGGCAAATTGTCTGCTTTATACTACCGTAACAGAACTAGCCCTGATATCAATAGGAATCACAAAGTCAATCAATTCACATGGATGACATTTTGAGATTTTAGAACGGTTCCAATTAAAGTATTGAGTTACATGCACATGTACAATAGGGACATTCTTAAAAGTTCAAAGATTTTCCCATTGACCGTAACAAAATGTTATAATCGTCAGAAAACATAATATCCTAACATATGCATTCGTCAACAGAACTAAACGTGACATTTAAAACATTTAAAAAATAACATAGACTTGCACAAATTTAAAAATAGCAAACTCAATTCATTACACCATTAAATCGACCGAAGCAAATTTCAATCCTTAAATAAAACATTCCATAAGAATACCCATGGATAATTTGACACACATTTCTCAATCCTATAAATTACCCAACAACCTAATCATATATAAGTTTGCACAGTAAAAACAACTCGCTAGGTTTTATCCTAACCCCATATTAAAATATTCAAAAATAAAACTATAAATAATAACACAGTTTCGATTGTGAAAAAATATTTTATTTCATAAACAATGATAGTTTACGCCAATACAACTCTATCTATATGTGAATCAGCATACATCTTTACACATATGCTGTGACATTATTTACATCAGATGAGATAGATTAATGTAATGTATGAACGATCAAGTCTTTTACTATGTTAACGGAATATTTAACTAAAAGTCACATTCACCTCCTTCGTTAAGAACTTAGCTTTTCCCGATATTTTTCTTTCATCTGAAAATGCAGTTATCTCTCCCGTGCTCGGGTTTCTAGCGATAGCCTGCACAACAGCCATATAATCTCCGCCATACTCCACTACCTGGTGGCCATACCGCGTCGCCAGATCATTGGCGATGTCCTGTGTATAAACATAAAACACATGAATTGATCGGTTGTACAGATTTGTGCCTCTTTACAGCACATCGGTTTCAATAGATTATTGGAACACTCAGGGGACACTTTAAAATGTATCAGTCAATGTCGTAACAAGGGCCTGGGTGAATGACAATCACTACGCTTCATTAAGCTTAAATGTACCATGTGTGCTTAGGGATACCTTCCCGATAGTAACAGAAGGGCAGAATGCAGGGAAAAAAGTGGTTATTGTTACATATAAATGTTGATCACGTCTGTGTCCACAACGAAGCGAAGTAAGTGATAACACTCAATTGTGCAGGGAGTCCCAAATATGTCGTCTCTTAAGGCCGCGAAATGCTTTAGTTTAGTTCAAATCTTTTACATCGTTATTGACTACGCAGGAAAAATGACATATTATCAACTTCAGATAACTTAAAAAATAGTTAAATTGAAAAACATTGTAAGAGCCTCAAAACACAAGGGGGAAATGGAACATAACGTCGGCAAGAAAGCAGATGTGACCAAAACGTGTACGTAGAAACACAGTCATATTCTTCTACGTTCTTAGGCTACTCGTTGTGTTCGGGAATGTCTCCCAAAGCACGCGTGGTAAAATTCTGTTTGATATTAATATAACCAGGATGAATGCCCGGCAGGATCCAAGCACACACCAAAACGTAATGAAAAACAGCATAAAGCCTTGTAAACTAAACAAAAAGCTATGTTCTTCAGAAGGATAGGTGTTTCCTCTGCACCATGTATGGCACCCGTCATGATGTCAACATCAAATTAAAAGTACACAAATTGTCAACAAATCAAAAACATAACAAACAACACCTAATGAAAGTTTAGAAATCATGTCATTAAGAAAAATGTAAAGCTCCTTTAACGGTAGAGTAGATGGTAGTGTTTCTGGTAGGAAACCCTGCCTATATACAAATCAAACTCATTGGTAAACAATACAACGAAGATATAATAACGCAGTACGATGTTAGACATATAAATGAAGTCTGGTACAAAACTACAACCAAGTTGTCACAAAATCACTCCACAATCTTAAAATAGAAGTGCTAACGTTTGTCATAGAGTTGTGTTGTGAGGTGACCGTATTTTTCAATATGAGTGATATTTCGAATGGTTATTGATCACTTGAGATACTTGATTAAGCAGATAAAACAAATCAAGTACTGTAAAGCAACCTGTTTTGCATTGGATAGCTTGCATTTCTGACACAACATAGGTTTCTGTGTGATGACGAGATGGCCTAATCTCCTTATAAAAGTTTTCTAATCACTACAGAGCCGGTACAATTCCTTAGTATGACCTTCAAGAATAGTTGTTTTAATAACCAATACTCTAACCTTACTTAAAACTACCCCATTGTTGCTTGGTAATTTTCTAAATCATTCGTTTCAACTTAGGAAAGGGAATTTTTAGTGTCTACATTACACACTTTAATAAACAACTCGAATATCTTTAAGAAAATCTGCTCCAATAATATAGTTCTTTCTATTTTTATCTCTGTATAACAGTGTCACAATATCCTATAGTGTTTGGTATTGATAAAAAGAAAGTATTCATTTTCGATTCTATGACTCTCTAACACAGTAGTGATTTCTGTCAGAGGTGCTTGTGTTTTAGTTCTGAGATTGTAATTCTCAATAAATCTATCGAGTGTGTGTCGTTAGGTCGTTAAGTCCATACTGTATGTAATCTCAAATACATAAACTGTATTGCAATCAATCCCTTAGGAAGTTACTGATACACCTGGTATCTTACCTGTTGGAATCCTTTTTCGAACTGAAGAGTATTAGAATCTAGACGCTGAAATAATCTTTTTCTCCTTATAGCCTCATCTACGCTGTCCTTCAGGAAAAGTAGAAATGCAGAAACCTAACAAAGAGAAACAACATCGTCAACCCGTGTAAATCAAAAGAGACGTTAGAGAGTGTAACACTGCCAAATATCAAACTTTAAAATACAGTATTTGCCCTAATGCTACATGTATAATATCAATGTAGGCTAACCGAAAGATGCAAGATACACTTCTTCATACTGTAAGCGTTCTTATTTTTGCACATTATCAAATTTAAACAAATTGCCTCTTTGATTAATTGGCACATCCGCAAAATATGAAATATTAAACATACACCAGGTCTTTAATTGGCGTAATGACAAATAAGCGCAATATGAAAAGGCGCGAAAATACCTAAAATAATGTGTACGAATACAGTATCTGCAAGTATGCATTCAAATGATATGTTTGCGTTCGAAACTGGACATACAAAAACATATTTTGAAACTGTGTGTATGTACTTCTGCGATCAAAATGTAGCTTAAACAACAATTATTATACATGTGTCACATATCTATTTGAAAACCATACTAATATCTCTGTTTAAGTCTAACTGTAAACGTATCTCTGTTATACGCAGGTCTGTCTTTCCGCCTACACATGTAGGATGCTTAGTTACATATAAAGAAGGTTCTTCTGTTGTTTGTGATATCTTACCTCCGATACGACAGGAGTGATAGTGGCGCCACCTGCTCCGCCAATTATCAATTGTACCTCTCCTGCTTTATCAACAAAAATGGCAGGCACCATTGACGATAAAGGTCGCTTGCCTGGCTCGACAAAATTGCGGGGGTTGTCCTGGAAGTATTGACAGTGTATTTTAGCATTGTTACGAAGGAAAGAACGGTGATTTTTTCAATGGTTTGAAAGAATTATGACTCGTGTTATCTTTACTGTATAAAGCCTAAAATAGCAAATGAAATAGTCCTGAAACTGAGGAGACACAACAATCGGACGGTAAGGAAACATGAAGGCGATACCAGTTATTTTCGTATTACTTTCTCCATCATCTCTGATTGTTACTCAGAATTCCGATATTCATTGACTATTAAAATAACAGAAATTAGACAGCAACATGCACATAGCTATGAAACATTTGTGTATTAGAACAGTGTGACTTTATCCTTACACGAACGTTTTATACATTTAACGTGCAAATCATGTGACCTTAGTAAGGCATTACTTTCGTGTTGTTTCATCAGAAGAAATAAATACAAAGTTGCATTTGTTTACAAATATTTAATGTACTTAAGTGGGAGACATACTGTTGCAAATCGCACAAAATAGACGTTCAAAAAATTAAGTCAAATTCAGTTCAATATTTACATTGGGAAACCTAAGTTCCGGTCAATAATTACTGCTAAAATCTTACCTTTGAAAAATCACTCATTTCGTTATTCCAAATTATCCCTGTGGATTGCGAGACAATAGTCGATCCAAAACTACAAGATTATAATTAAACATCGATGTAAAACGTTCATGATAAAACAAATTGAACACATTTATAAATATCTTATTGATGAAAGATATCAATTTGTAATTCTGTGTCATTTATAAAGATAGTTTAAAAGGTGAGTAAGGTATAAGCTTGTGCTTTTAGTTTGATGCATTTCAGGTTGAGATTCCAAAACTTCATCTAAATTGGTCGCAAGTACTCATAACTTAAACGTGAATATTGTAAAGCTTTATTCGGACATTAAGGTTGACATTATCATCAATCTGTCCCTACCTGACTACCCCCACAGAAAGTGCATTGAGTTTAATCATTTGCTGTGTGTGATAATTTCGGTATAGGTAATGCGATTGCAATATCTATATTTGAAAATCCGTCTGAATGTTTCTATTTTTGATATTTCTTGTCTTAACCCCGATAGAGACATCTATTAAATATTTCACATTTTATTCATTTATTTAATTCCTTTTAGTCATTTTTTTTGTGATTTGTGGTTTAGACGCAACCTAGTTAATGTTTTCTTTCCTGCATAACATAAGCAAATCGATTATTCATCTCTACATCTTACTCAGACTTTCTGTCCGGGAGAAAGGTTAACAAAGCTAGATTTATTACTCGAGTTCAGTACTTACTAGTAATTTATACTACTTGTAACAGAAACAGCACTTCCATCGGGGGATAAAACCGACACATGCGCAGTCCCTTGGTCTTTCGGCTGGTATGTTATATTGCTATAATACGACCAATCGTGTGTTCTGCGCAGGTCCAGTTTTTCATTCCGTAGAAAAGTTGCGAATGAACCCGATATCATTTTATTGACAACCTTAAAAATATAAAAATATATAAAAACAAGCTTAAAAAAAAAAGATAAAAGAAAGGTTATCTGATGGTTTCCAGCTGAGCACCATTAATATCTAAAGAGTTGTAGAATACATCACTCTTTAGTCTGTTCACTCCTACTGGAGAATTCGTAAAATTACACGAGTCTGTCATACAAATTAAATATATGCTTGCTATTAAGTAAGAAAATTCTGTTTTTAAATATTTCTTTACTTGAAAACGAAGAACATTGCCCTGTAACAAAAAGTGTTTATGAATGGCATTTGTGTTAACATTGCCGGGTGAAATTTTAGTTCAAGGACAATGCCAACAATGCTAAATTTAAGCTTTCTGATTGATTATTGGAATCACGTTATTTCATTAGATTAAATCACAGTAAGTGCTCCTCTTACTACCGATCACTGTAGTGAAAAATTAACCCTTTATTTGACGGGTAGTACTCGATATTTCACTTGTGAAAATACATTTAAAAAACACGTGTGCGTATTTACCAGTATGAATCTCATTCGTTAGTATTTACGTTAAATTTATTGCTTTGAAATTGACTGTAAATAAATAATTTAGGGTAGTATTGTTTGACAAACAAATAGCATGGTATCTTCATGAACGTATCGCATAAAACATATAGAACACAAAAATGCGTGCACTCAGTGACAACATGTTCTAAACTATATTTTTGCTTAATCCTGACTAGGGAGAGCATAACAAGAAGTATTCGAGTTCAAAATATTCAGTAACATAATAGCTGGCGTTCTGAAACTTGACGTCATCTTGTGAAACGTGATATCATTGGTTTCAATTATGATAAGCGGGAAAGTATAAACCACCAACATGTAGACGGCGTTTGATATCGCCTCAAGAAATGAACAGTGACGCGGTTGTATCCTTTTTTCAAATCCAAGGTATACTTTCGATGTATCATCCATTTTCCTGCTCTTTCTTAAATATGTTTTTTCGTAAATTTGCATCTTATCCAGAACATCAAAAACATAATGCAGCATTTGCAATGTTATTGGTGATTTTAAGTAATATCCTAGTTAAGAAAAGACGAAAATCAGTCAATCGTTTTGTAGGGGATTTGGAAATTCTTCCATTCGGGTGCAGAACGTGGGCGAAAGCCTTGTTTCTGATCAAAATCCTACACCCATTGGTAGATCTTTCAAACTTTATTGATATTACCTGTTTGACGTCAGGCACGAAGGCCGGGTCAGCTAGCTGCCACCTTTCGCCGTACGCCAGCTTTGTCGCCTCAATCAGAGCGTGAAATGTTGCAGACTGCATTTGGGACGTCGCCATGTCTGATTTCCCCTTCAGTACCCCTATATAGTATAAAGAAAATATTCTTGTGTTCATCCAACAGTTCAACTCACGTGATTTACAGGACCAAAGCCGGGTCATCATGGTCATATCTTAATGACTTTTTGACATAAACAATGTCATACTGGTCATAATAAAATGTTTGCCATAAAAAATAGTTACAAGTTATATAAAAATATTGAACAAAACAGTTTGTCGTACTTAGGTTAGAATATGCAACACAAACAATTTCACTATAGTTAAATTTATATATGGGCATAACCAATGTCGTCATTGTTTTCAATTAAATTAAAACGCCATGGTTATGTTTAAATGTTGAACACAAACAATGTAGTTGTGGCTATATAAAAATTGGACATACATGTAGCCAATGACGTCAAGTTTGTTTGTGTTTTTTTTTTTATATAAACTGTTTAATATAATTAATGTCGTCATGGTCATATTTAAAAATTTAAATAAAAAATATTTTCCACTGTTTTCATGTGTACATGGTATCAGTTGATGATGTCTTTGTATGCGGTTTTCCTTTACGGGATGTTCCTAAACGTCATCCCAGCGAAAAATTAAGGAATTGAACAGTGTTACAAGGACAAAACATACCACAGTGTCACCACTCAATGTCTAAATATACCACAATGTTAACACAAAAGGTTCATGGTTCATGTAAAGAAAAAAAAATGCATCAAAATATTGATACGAAAAGACTAATATGCACTAAATTAAATCCTCACTAACTACCGTAAGAAAGAAGAGGAAAGAAAAAGCTTCAGAAAGGTTTAGCGTTACCTTCACCCTATGTGACTCCCGTTGTGGTGTCACTTTTATTAGTCAAGAAGCGTTTGACAATCAACAATATCAGACTTCAAAAAACGAAGTAACCACTATAACAATCGCATACATGTATACATGCGTTTAAAACAATATCTCGACTTTAAAAACGTGAGCGTCTATATCTATTTTTCCAGATGCCTTAACAGGTACGTGCGTTATACATATCGATATTGATAAGGCTTCTAGCTTAGGAATGCGGGTTCTAAAAATATTTACTGTCAACGGGAGATAACTCAATGTCAGGCCAGTATTTCTCAATCTGGTAGTAGTTTTGAAATCATCTCAGTCGTAATGCATTTAAACAAATATGTTTGACGCAACTTCATTTCAAATTGATACGCTTCAAAATACCACCCTGTGTGACTGTACCCTAACCAGTAACACGTGGTCCATTTATTTGATGTAGAACAGATATATTTTCAAATAGAAAGATTTCTCAATTGTTTGCTTGTCTTGACGTAAAACTAAAACGTATTCATACACAACTCTACCTTTTATCTTTTACATTCTTCGAACGAACCCAGTCTTAGTTTTAAGGAAATCACCGAATGTGACTCCACCACGATGTTTCTTTTATAAATTGCTTTAATTTCAACCTTTAACTATGAAAATAAGATAATTTCGTTATGTAAATGAAATCATAATTCGAACTCAATATCGATAAAACTGTGGCAGATATATATCTACACGGAGACCTTTGAAATAGTACAATGATATTGAACACAGTGATTTTCAGACGATATTTTTTTTCTATTTCATTGGCGATAACTGAAAATGTATATTAAAAACAAGTACTTTCACATCCTTAATCAAAATAGAATGTATTGGTCTGCATTCTTATCAGAGCTATAGTCTAATAATTCTAATAGGACTGGATACAATTCAATTAACAGATAAACGAGTATTGAACGACATTTTTGCAATTTCATACCGGCATGAACATTGACAAATAACCGTTTAATCCTTTTTTACATTTTAAATATTTAGTTATTATTGACTTTTATACAGAGATTGCCTTATATTTTCGACATTAAACTGTCTGTCTCGTCAGCGCAAGCGTTATTCCAGGTCCTGCCTAAAGTCACTCAAATGTTTGATTCTTACAGTTCTGTCATGTTAATCGAGACGGAAGGAGAAGCAATTTCTCCCGGTAATTCGTATAACAATGAACAACAACATTTGATATAGCGCTCTATCTAGCTAACATAAGACATTCGAAAGCGCTTAACAGGATATAGACATACAGTCTATACATTAATCAAAACAATTTTGATGAATATGTAGGAGCTGCCTCATCAGGCGCTAACTGCTGGTCATATGCCACCTGGCTAATATATCCCTATGTGTGTTTGCCTACGTGTGTGCTGGAGATGTAATGTGTTCTGTTTGTAGTTAGACCGTGCTTCTCATGGCATCATTTATATATAGTGCCACCTCACTTGAATGCTACAGTACATGCACCGCAACATCCACCCCAGACCAAATTATACTCCGCCTGGGTTGTTGGAGTTTTGTGAGCAGGAGAAAAACACTTCCTCTGAATATCCATGCGTACGACGACTTCGGAGATGGAATCCCGGCCGCCTGCGTGGAAGGCCAAAGTGTTAGCCAGTCGGCCAATCCACTCATTCTCATTGTCGTCAATTAAACGGTACCTTGGCGACGATTGTTTGATGACGACGTACCTTTAAGTATGTCCAGAATGAGGCCAAGGACTGGCCCACCACTCGGTGCACCCATGGTGAGTAGCGTGACGTCACCAAGGTCAACGGCAATACCATCCTCCACCACTGGAATATATTCTGCCAGATCCTTTTTTGTCATGACACCACCTTCAAGATATCGCATATGGATCATACATACAGGTTTACTGCTGTGTCTCGATTATATATATACTCTATTAGTTATATATGAAAGTTCAGGTCGTAATTAAAGATAAATTCTATCAGACACAATGGAGATATAACGCATCAAACGGATATGTGAAATAATATTTTAAAGTAAAATTATGAAAAGCAAAATAAGTTTTGTTGTTGACATTTTGTGCAAAGTGATTAGGATTTCACTAGCTAAAGCACCTAAGCGAGTGGCTCTACAAAAAGACATTGCTCCATACCTCCCGAAAATGACATCTGATATCGTCAGAATTATACCAGATACATATCCGAACGAAATGTACAATGCTCATACGAATGTAAGCAATACATTGCGTGACTAGAAAATGAAAATCTGACCCATAGTGCAACAGACGATGAAATGGACATTTATTACTATTTCGAAAATATGTCTCCATGGCTTAACACTATATGTGCTATACACTTTTGTGTCACACAGGTTATACTTTTGCGTGTTAATTCGTGAAGTAACTCCCCGTTATAACGTGTGATTCACGACATAAGACATGACATCTTGATGCAAGGGAATCATTCTCATAAACGTTAATGCAATTTTTTCAACTGTTCTTTTTTTTCGTTCAGGCAATATGGATAATAAACAACAGTACAGTATCGGCGGACTTGGTCACATAAAGAGATCGTGTCAAACCTTGTTCCTGTATTTCTCGCATAATTGCGTCCGCGACCGGCCCTTCATATAAATAGGACGGTCCATTTTCAGCAATTCCCCGCAAGGTCTGCGCCAGACGTGGCATTTTGATCAGGGCTCCTTCTGGTACAGTCTTACCGGTGTCGTCACAGTAGATCTTACTAAAACAAATGTAGGAAATCATATTAATTTAAGTATTGAATTCACACGAAAACGGGAACTTGTAACTTGTACTTGGAGGCACGGTAGTTTAGTGGTAGGACGTGCGTGTACGCCGGGCTCGTGACCGAAGGGCTACGGGTTCGAGTCACGGCACGGCACTATGTTGTATCTTTGAGCAAGATACTTTACTCCGCTTGTTCCAGTCTACTCAGCTGTACATGAGTACGTGGTTGGGCAGTGCTAGAATTGTAGAATGTTAGCTGTGAGCACCGAAACGGCAGCACCGGCTGTATGCTCCCCAGTGAGTTGAGAAAGATATTGGCTGGTTGCAAAGTCCCTATAACCACGGATAATAATTTGTGAACCGCTTTGAGACGACCTACGAACCAGATTGTGATAAAGCGGTATAAAAGAACCTGGAATTACAATTATTTTTATTAAAAAATGAACGTCTAAGAAATCCGCCTGTGGAGTCTACCACTGTGTATATCGAAAGATGAACCTAAATCACACATGTGTTTTGGACCTATAACATTGAAAATGTATGCAGACTGCCAAAACATGAATTACACTAATGCATGCGTCTGTTTTCAGTAGGGATTACTAATGTTTTCCCTTGGTTTACTTTGTTGCCTCATCGGGTTTTGTTGTTGTCATTTTGTATCTCTTAACAGCGCGTCTAGTTTCGACATTATTAATTGAGATATTGTATTATAAACATATCTACATGTATACATGTATTTTGCAATGGTCATATGTATACATCTTTTTTATATGCAATATATATCTGTATACATCTATTTTATTATAAATCTATGTATACGTGTATTTTGTTATAAATCCATGTATACGTGTATTTTGTTATAAATCTATGTATACGTGTATTTTGTTATAAATCCATGTATAATAATATAATAATATACAACATTTAATATAGCGCATTATCTAGCTAACATAAGCCACTCTAAAGCGCTTTACAGTACATAGATATACAATTGATACAATTAGCATATACATTAATTAATTCAATTTTGAGGAATACGCAGGAGCTGCCTTATCAGGCGCTAACTACTAGTCCTATGCCACCTGGCTAATATCTCCTTATGTGTGTATGCCTGCGTGTGTGCTGTATTTGATTATATATCTATGAATACGTGTATTTTGTTATAAATCTATGTATACGTGTATTTTGTTGTAAATCTATGTATACATGTATTTGATTATATATCTATGCATACGTGTATTTTATTGTATATATCTATGAATACATACAGGTATTTTGTTATAAATGTTTATCTATGTATACATGTATTTTATCGTATATTCATGTGTACATGTATTTAATTATATATCTATGTATACAGGTGTTTTATTATATAGCTATGTATACAGATATTTTGTTATCAATGTCATCATTTTCATCACCCAGAAACCTTCAGTTTATAATCATAAATGTTACGGTTATGAAATTTGTACATGCCTAATAAAAACAATTATAATGTATGCTTGCTTCAGAAGTAATAATTACATCATCTACAAAACATATCATAATAATCATCGTGTATATTGGAAAAAATGCTTCATGAAATATATTCAACTACATGCAAGATTTTAAACATTTCGTTTAAGAAGACTTTTGCTCTCCTGCGCATTGCCTTAAACTGGCAATGCATCACTTACCAGAATTCTGCATTGTCTGACAAATCTATGTTATATTTCTCCCGTAGTACTGTAATGGCTCTGTGGACAGGTTGGGAGAGATAGTGACCATCCTCAGCCAGTCCTATTGTAGGGAGGAACAGTTCTTTCCATGGTAACCGTCCATACCTCTGATGAGCTTCCCAGTATCCGCGGATTTCTCCCGGCACTCCGATAGACAACACTTCTGTTATTGGACCAAGAGGAAAATAATTTAAGTTAGAAATCTTGTCACCTGACATGTTAACAAGGAATATTAGCTAGTACGTATGTTTAAAGGTGCAGTTATCTAGCCGGTATATCAAATAAATGCAGGATCACGCGACACGACTGGTGGTAGGCGTCATTTGTGTTTATTACTTGTAAACATGTTGTAATAACACCAGGGTTAGATTTGCGAGACAAGCATAGAATTTAATGTACAATATGAATAGAATAATGAACATCGACGCATGCTATCGCATTGGCTTCTTATGTATTAAGGCCCCCACAGTAGACGCTTAACAGTAAATGATTGGACTCCCTAAAATAAGTTTTAAAGAGTATGTCTGTTTGACATCTATTTGTCCCCC